ATTCTAGCAAAGTTGTAAATAATTTAGGAGACATGTTGTCTCCTTGCCGAACGCCTCTTTCAATACGAAAAGTCCCAGTATCTTCATTAAGTCTTACACAGGCTGTAGCATGTTGATAGATGTATCTGATGAGAGATATGTATCGGTGATCTATTCTACATTGTGTTAGAGCTTGGAGCATTTCACTTTGATTGACCGTATCAAATGCTTTTTCAAAGTCGACAAAGACAAGTATCAGGGGTCTATTATATTCAATGGTTTTTTCAATCAACGACTTAATGGTTTGCAAATGATCATTTGTTCCGTATCCAGCTCTAAATCCTGCTTGCTCGCAAGGTTGATAGAAGTCTAGTTTTGATGTCAACCTATTAGTTATTATCTTCATAAACAACTTATAAACGTGAGATAACAAGCTAATAGGTCTATAGTTCTTTAGCTCTGTTATATCTCCCTTTTTGTGCATGACTACTATAACAGCTTTATTCCACTGAGATGGTGTAACCTCGTTTGAAAGGCATAAGTTATATAATTGCGTCAATGCTTTCAATACTGTCTTTCCTCCTGCTTTAACTGCCTCAATAACGATTTGATCATCACCAGCTGCTTTATTGTTTTTCATTCTATTTAATGACTTTAAGACTTCTTCGATTGTTATTTCTGGGATATCCTCTGAACCCACATTCTGGACTTTTCTCAACTTGGTCGTCTTTCTTCCCCTTCTTATATAATTCTGTGTAAAATTCTTCAACTACCTTAATTATCTTATCTTTATCTGTTACCACTTTTCCATTTCGATCTGCGAGCTTAACAATGTTCTTCTTACCTAGAGCTTGACATCTCTTCAGCACCTTTAAACTTTTGTTTTCTCGACAACCGTTGTAATCTTTTTTGTGTTATATTGTCGTACGTCCTTTCTCACTGCTTTATTAATATCTTTATTAAGTTGTTGTAGTACGCGTGCATTCGTATCGTTTTTGTTCTTAAGTTCTCTTCGTGCCTCCATAAGTCTTTTTGTTTCTTGACTGAGCTTTTCCTCCTTATCTCTCCTAGAATTTGTATTGCACTTTTTCTCTGCGTTCTTAATAGCTTTTATTAAGTTATCATTTAAGGTTTCGATATCCATAACGTCTATATTTGTTGTCTCTAGACATCTCAGAATTTCCTCTTCGAAGGACATGGTGTTTTCGATTGGATTCCATTCTATTGGGTGTGTTTTTGTTATCATTTTGTATCTTTGTTTTTGGAGATTTAGCACGATCTTCGCTCTTACCATTCTATGATCACTTCCCACTGAACAGCTATTAAGAACTGTTACATCATGGATCATGTCTTTGTTGTTGGTTAAGACAAAATCAATTTCATTTTTGGTGACTCCATCTGGACTTGCCCAGGTCCATTTTCTTTGGGGACTTTTTTTGAAAAAGCTATTCATTGCAAAGAGGCCATTTCGTACCAAGAAACCCAAAAACATTTCGCCTCTTTCATTTCTTTGTCCGAATCCATAGGGACCTATTGCTACTTCGGTCCCATCTAGTTTACATCCCAACTTAGCATTAAAGTCACCCATTACTAGGTTGTGTGTAGTAGGCGCTAGTTTTACAGCATTTTCTAGGTCTTCATAAAAGGTTTCCACTTCCTCGTCCGAGTGTGTAGATGTAGGTGCGTAGGCTTGAATTATTTTAAGGCTGGTTTTTTTATTAAGCTTCAGTATGCAGAGTATTATTCTAAAATATATTTACCAGCCAATACGCTAATCACTAGGAAACAGAAAATATTGCTCCGGAATCTTCACAGATATCCCCCAGGCAATTGAACAAAGTCTGGAATTCTTCTTCTTAGGGTGCCTGTCCGTTCCGAACGTTGGCGATCATTCTGGCTATGATGACTTTATTGGTTGCTATACGAAATATTTGTGTTGAGGTCTTTCTATACCATGCTCTCAGGTTATCAAGCCAGGATATTCTTCTTCGTCCTGAGGCCCTTTTCTTTTAATTTGACCGTGCAAAATGCATTGGAGTAGCTCATATCTGCTTTGATTTCTCATTATGTGTCCCAAGTACTGCAGCTTACGGTCCTTCACGATGTTGACCAAATTCGCGGTTACCTTTATTCTTCGTAGTACTTCTTCATTGGTGACTTTATCTGTCCATGGTATCTTCAGGATCCTTCTGTATAACCATAGCTCAAAAGCTTGAAGTTATCCAATGAGTTACTGAGCATAATCCCAACAACATATTGATCGCACAAAAAAAATTGTAGTAAATCGCATTTGCAACAATTTCAGTACCAACCTTTTTATCGAAAAGTTAAATATGGCGAAGATATTAAGCTAAAACGGATTATTAGTCGAACCCGGCTTAATAGTGCGTTTTAGAATTAGATAACATTGGGCCCTAGTAGTAGAGCACTATGCAAGGTTAAATGTCATCCCGACTGTAGTATTAAGACACAATCTTTTATACGTCTTTCAGATGACGTCACCTCTAACTCCATCGTAGGTGCGGCGACTGACACATATTCTGCTGATTATCGAACACTATTCAACTGCTACAAATAAAATTTATTGGGTATACAATTCCTACGAAGACACAATGCTACCTCTTGTACTATTATAACTACGAACAGAGTATAGCGGCATATGCGTAATGAGCAAGCGTTGCTAAAGAGAGGTATATAGACTACCGATGGAGTCCACTATGTTTCACTATTTTGCTCACTATGCCTAATCTATTCTTATTATGTCTATGATTTCAACATCTGATTATGTCTATGTGTCTATCTACACAATAGGACAAACATGAAGAATGTCCTAAAATGAGATACAGAGTATAACACAGATTGCTGATTACAAAATATGAGAGCTCTTACCTGTAATATAAAAATGTCTTAACACTAATGGTTCAAAAAGCTATCCAAAGGTACAAAACGATTTATTAAAGAGAAAAAGAGAGAAAAACAAATAGCATAAATAAAATCAGTACAAATACATAAAGAAATAATCAAAATTCCTACTACTAAATACTACTTACTAGTTAACAAGTCTTTCAAAAACGTCTATGTGCGGGTTATTGTCCATTCAAGTCACTATCACGAAGATCCTGGATCAAGAGATGCGGAGATGTGGTAACCATGTGTCAAAGGCCACCCAGAGAACCATGCGAAAAGAACTTCTAACACTTCTAGTGTATACAAAAACGGGCACTACTGTATTATAATCAACATGCATATATATCTGTGATTATAATTGATTGCTGTTATACCAACAGCGGGACAAATCGTTGACCGATTTGGACAGCACTGCATACTTTTTGAGGATTAAATCCTTGATGGATTTTTAAGGACTTCTGCCAAATAGAGATGTTGCTTCGTTCACGTCTAAATTCGTTCTGGGTTGTAGGCGGGGTGCCTGATTTTTCGGGGAGTCTTTTTGGAAGAGTTTTAAGCGCACAAAAACTATAATACTAAAAACTGTTGACAATGTTTTACAATGGTTGACATTTATATATTTACAGAGTGAGTGAATTTTTACCAAAAGTGGAGTTAAATACTAAATTAAAAATATTGATAACCCCCTCTGTGGCCCAGTGGTAAGAGCGCCTTGAAACCTCAATACTCCGGGAGTATTGGATTTTAGGAAGTGTAGAACTTACAAATTTTAGAGGAAATGGAAGAGAAGTGATGAAAAATACTAAAAATATGGCTAAGCTCAGAGGAACAAATTTAAATGGCCAAAGAGATACTAAATCTCAAGTGAGTGTTCGGACCAGCTTCAATGCACTGAATTGTGGCTTTAAAGATATAAAGCAGATAGCAAGGATAATGAGCTAATGAGACAAGAAACGAAATGAGACCTGTTAATATCAAATGTGATACAACTAAAGAAGGTCACTGGGAATAAATTTATAGAAAAAGGACGATAAGAAGAGAAGAAGAAGGGCGCCAACTCAACGATAGTTGAGATTTTGAAGTAACAAATGACTGAAAACAACTTATTCAGGAGATAATAACCTGAAATACAAAATACTAAATACTAATCTTGTCTTGCTGTATTATATACTGGTTAGTAGAAACTGAAATAAAACTCAAAATAGTAACAATAAATATATTTATAAAAATGTGTATATAGATATATATGTATTAACAATTTACATATAATGCAAAAACTAAATAACAGTGGTAGTGGGTGGTGTAAAGATACAATAGGACCGAATAGCCCCTCAACAAGCGAATAGTCACTACCACTGGCCAAATAAAGTGTGAAATATTAGTAAAACCCTAGAATAGTCCGTATGGTAGCCAAAGTCTTAACACCAAAAGTTAGTAATTTAATTTAACTTAGTTCTACTAGAATGAGATACAAGTGACAGTATGGTAAAGATATCAAAATTGATAAATCTGGTACCATTTATATCATAGATAAAATGTGAGTTGTTACATATTCCTTATATAATGTTTTAAAAACCACATGAAATTTATTTCCCTCCCCAATATCAAAATTGTATTATATCAAAATGTATTGTATTAAAAAAAATATTATATCAAAAAGTGAGTTTGGTCAGACTCTTTATATCCTATTTAAAAAAAAAACTAATAAAAACATGAAATGTATTTTCCCTCCCCAATATTTTAGAATTATATTATATCAAAAATGTATTCACCTGATCATCTGCATATGAAAAGTGTACACTACTAAATAGAAAGTAACAAAAAGGTTAGACAGTCAAACAAAAAAAAAAAAAACAAAATTTGTTTAATTTACTGTTTGTATTTTGAGAACGATTTCCGAAGTGGAAATTGAAACGTCAATAAACGTATTTTTATCTTTAATTGTGGCTTATTCCCAGTTTAATAGTAATTAATTTATTTTTACTTGTCCAAAATATGATACAAATAGGACCACAGAGAAAAAAAGTTATTTAACAATATTTGTTAACATCTTAACACGGCCGTTTATATGCGCCCGAGTGGATTTGCTTATACAATTTGTGTTTCTTTTTTAGTCTCAAATCTTAGAAAGAGTTCAATCAGATAGGGTTACTGTTACAAAACCAGAAGAAGACAGACGACGTAGAACAATAATAGTAGAAAAGAAAAATGGATCTTTCGGATTTACTCTCCAAAGCTACGGCATTCATTATAAGAAGGAGAAAGAAATTGAAATGATCACTTATGTGGATTATGTAGACTACGATGGACCAGCCTATAGAGCGGGAATGAGAGAAGGTGATGTAATTTTGTCCATAAATGGAACAGATATGGAGAAAGCCGATCACAAAACACTAGTCACTTATATTAAGAATTGTGATAATAGAATGAGGATGGTCGTACTTTTCGAAGACTGCGTAAGAAAGGTATGCATTTTTATTTTTTCTAACTAATTCAACAAAACAGACGATTTACCTAAAACTAATGTTCGTTGTCTATTGTTTTGGATTCCTTACTGATTATAATTATTATTACCCAGCTATATCTTCCAAATCTTTCTTTATGTTTCTGTTACGGTTTCGATCTAGATTTGTTCCGATCTACAATCTTTCATTTTCATTTTTCTGTCTGTTCGGTCTAAGCATTAGGACATTATTAAACAAAAACTGATGATTTACCTAGTAGTCAGGTAAGTCATCTAATCTTTTGGATTTCTTCGTCTTCTTCTAGTGCCGACTTCATTAATGAAGGTTGGCCATAACCATTGCAAATTCCTCTTTATCTTCTGCTTTGCTCGAGAGCGTCTGTGTTTATTAACTCGGTTTAGTCACGAATGTTTTTCTTCAGTAGGGATATTTGTCGTCTATCAGGACCCTTTTTTTTAGATTTTACCCTTCATAATCAACTGCAACAACTCGTACTTCTCATTTCTGAGTATATGTGCCACATATGCGGTCTTCCTCCTTTTAATAGTGGTCAAAAGTCCTCTGTCTCTTTGGTCCATGGTATTTTTAAAATTCTTCTAAATAACCACATCTCAAAAGTTTCCAGCTTTCTCATTAAGTTAACATTAACAGTCCAAGCTTCGGTACCATAAAGAAGAAAAGAGTGGATATAACATTTTACCATCCGATATCGAATTTGCAGATGGAGTCTTTGGTTACTCAGACATTTCCTCATATTCAAAAAATCTGCTCTTGATTGCTCCATTCTTGATAAAATTTCTGATTTCGAATTGAGATCTTTAGTAATTCTGAAATCTATGTACTTCATTTTATCCATTTGTTCAATATTTTCATTTTTTATCTGGATTCTTGTTATTACTTTACCCCTCTTAATGATAACCATGGTTTTTATTTTCTTAATGTTTATTGTTAAACCAAGCTGTTCTACAGTATCACAAATGGTGTTTAGTGACGCTTTCAGGTCTTTCTTACTTTCAGCGATAATGACTGTTCATCAGCATAACGTATTTTATTTATATTTTCACCATTTATTTTGATCCCTTCTGTACAATTTCCAAGTGCTTGTATAAATAGCTCTTATATATAGAGTATATATTAAATAGTAATGGTGAAAGTACATAGCCTTGTCTCACACCTCTACTTATCTCTTGCGTATTCGTGCTATTGCAATTTATTGTTACCACAGCCTGTTGGTTCCAATACTGATTTCTCTCTATATTAATATCATTTTGGTCGAGTCCTTTTCGCTTTAGACATTCCATGAGAATTTTATGTTTAACTTTGTCAAAAAACTTTCTCATAGTTTATAAATAAGACGAAAAGATTTTTTGTTGGTCTCGACATTTTTGAGCAACAGTTGTGAAACTATAGAGAGCTTCTACTGTTTCGAAGCCATTACAAAAGTCCATACTCATATCTGTTTTTTTTGTGAATTCCTTGCTGATAGTAATTATTCTTACCAAGCTCTATTCTTATTGAGCTTTTTTCGTGATATCGAGTCCTACGTGACTTAGCATGTTAGAGTATCTCCCAAAAAATTTGCTCACGCATCAAGTCGCGTCGCGAGCAGTACCCGATTTTGCATGATATTATAGAGATGTTTATTAAGACTCTGTTGATGTTCTCTAAAAAGTTCATTAGAATGACAGTAGTAGCAGTAGAGGACAATATATATTGTCTGTTCCAGTATACCATGCAGTTTTTATTTTCATAATATCCGGGACATATTTATCATAAAGGAGATTCATTTTGGAGACTTCTCAGTTTGTTGGCTAGTTCTATGAAGTATCTTTCCTACTGAGTCGCCGTTCTTTATAATCAGTTCCAACAAATGCCTGACAGCCCACGGTAAAATGTTGGATAGTTTTTTGAGCTTATTTGTCACCACTATCATTTAAATTTATCCCTGTATTTGCCGTTTTGCAGCTGAGAATTTCTGATGATGTATTTCAGACAATTTCTGGGAACACCTGGTTCGGGAAACATTGTTCCTGATATTAACTATTAGTTTGATACTGTTTATCGACATAGTCTTGAATGGCTTCTGTGAAATTCCGCTTATGCAGATATTTTCCTATCTAGGTGCGCATTTTTTCTTTCTAAGATAGATAGTTTGTGTGCATTTTTTAGTTCTTTACTTAAAGAAATGTTATGTTATTTACTGCGTAAATTGCGCGATGTAAACAGATATCATAGTATGCTTCTGAAAATAAGTTCTTAAATTAGAAACCTGTCTTTTAAGTTACTCACGTATATCCAAAGTCACCGTCTTCCTACATACTGCGCTAATGTTGTTATTTCTATTAGGTTTGGATTATTATTATGTTATTATTTGATGAATGACTAACATTTTAACCAGAAATTTTACTTTTTGATATGTTTCTAGATTTGAGAAAAATATGTTGTTTTTTGCCTGTAATGACCGCAATTTACTTCTTTTCTTCCTAGACGTGACCGAAAGTTGGCTACTTTACGGCAAATGTATCTCTATCTTGTACAGTTTATAGCAGTAGATCTGTATCCAGGCTCTTAAATGGCCGATCTGGCATTTTCTTTTCGCGCATGTATTATAATCATTTTATTATGATCGGTTGTTATTTAGATGCCAATGTACTTAAACTTTGGTACAAAGCCTATTTACTTGTACTAGCTGCGGCAAAAGTAATCACCCTATTTGAAAACGCTACAACTTTTACAAATGGCGCTAAATGTCAATTCGTTGTTGACATTTGTGAACTAAACAAACGCAGAATACAAATCAACAAGCCATAAATCGGTATACTCCTACTTACACAAGAACGCGGAATAAATGTTTCCATTTTTTTGCCCAACAATCCGTCGCTTATGTTGGCGCAGCGGGCATTTCGTCGCAGATTTCCTGGCTGTCTCACACCAACTAGACAAACACTGCAGTGTTTGGGAGACTGTGCCGGCCCCGGAGCAGCAGTTCGCTGAGAATATCGCTACTGTTGCCCAAGATGTCGAAGAGAAGCCTAGTAAAACACCGATAACAAAATAGGCGACGTGCCATGGAATTAGGCACGAGCTGGCAGTCCCTACGCAGAATTTTGGTGAGAGATTTGAAGATGCTCCCTTACAAAGTGAAGACAGCTATCAGCTGTTGACTGCCAAACGCGTCCTATTTACACTCAAGCCATGCTGAATCTTAATGAAGAGAAGGACAATTTTTCATCGAGAATTATTATGAGCGATGGGGCTCATTTCCGTCTTAGCGGTTACGTAAATAAACTAAATTATTATTTCTGGGGCACCAAAATTCCGTGTATTACCCACGAAGAGCTATTACATCTGCTCAAAGTTAGTGCATGGAGTGTTTTTTTCGCTGGAGGAGTCATCGTGCCGTTTTTCTTTAAGAAAGCCGCATGCCAAACGATGACTATGGATGGCGCGCGTTCCAAACCATGATTACCAAATTTTTTCTTCCGCAATTGGATGAATTGTGACTACAGAACATGTGGTTCCAACAGGATGATACAACGGTGCACATTGGTCTAACTACAACCGATATTCTGAAGGAAGCATTTCCGGACCACTTAATCTCTCGGTAAGGTGATTTACACTGGCTGGCCAGATACCCGATTTAACTGTCCTTGACTTCCTTTTTTGGGATTTTTTAAAGTAGCGGGTTTACTTTAACAATTTTTAGACTCTTAAAGCTCTTAATGAGAATATTCTGTCACCAAAAATTCTGGTAAGAGTGGTGGAAAATGCCATTAAACGGCCTCGTTTTATGACATTTTCCATCATCATCGTCATCGACTCTGGCAGCGGTCACTTGGCTGATAGCATTTTCTCGACTTAATGGAATAAATTCTAATGGATAAAATAGGCAATTTTCACAAGCAGATATAAAGATTTTCATTAAAAAAAAAATACCGTAAAAGGACAAGGGTAATTACTGTTTCCCCAACTTGTATAAAGAAATGCCTTGATTTAAATTTCATGTGATGGCTAAACATTTTGTCTTCCCTGTAGTTATTTTTAGTATTTGTATTTTTATTTGTATTCTAATTTACTTTCATATTCTATAGGTTGAACTGCACATGCGATATATCCAGTTGCAAAGAATTCTTCAAAACAAAATGGAAGAGCTAGAACGTCTATGCATACGCGAACGTCAGCTGTTAGAAGGAAAATGGAAAACACATAGTCTTCCTGCAAGGAAAAAAGCCTCTCAAGCTAGTAACGGTGGTCCACCGACACCCACACAGACAACATATTCCTACTGTAGACCGACAGTATCGACTGAAGATGTGGCAAAAGTTGCGCAGCAACAGAAACAAGTTACCCCTCCCTTAGCTTTTGCTTATCAGTACCTAGACTCGCGCTATAGGTAAGGACTGTAGAAACGCGATTACGCATGCCTCTATCGAGCTCATTTTCTATATTTTCTACTTATTTACAACAAAAGGACATTTGATCGCACTATATATGTATATTTGTGTTTTGTGAAAACTTAGCTTGAATTAGCAAATTTTAGTTTATTGTGTAATTATGTGATGGATTATATAGAGTTGGAAGAAATGAACATAGAACACAGCTTGCAAGGCAAAAAATGTCGAATACTCTATAATGTCTACTACAATAATTTATAGACGTAGATAATTTTTTAAAAAATATTTAATTTCGAAAAAAAAAAACTTTTACAGCAAGGACAGAAAGATGTGGACAAAAACACATAAGGTAAACGTAGGGGATATGACGCACAATTCGGGGTTTTGGCGATTTGGCAGATACAATAAAAATTACTTTAATTAAAAAAAAACAAAAATAGTCAACTATTGCGTCATATTTCCGACAAGGGAGGGGGGGGGGTAATATGAAGCACTGCGTGTTGGGGATATGACTTATGGTAAATTACATGAAAACCAAAAATACAAACTCAGAGTGATTAACTTTGCAACTTTTAATTAAATGAGGTGAAATAAAACTGTCTACACAATTGACATGGTGTTAGCAAATTTAACAACAAAATTGAAGTGTCTTCAAATTGAAGGATTTTCTTAATTTGTTCCATATAGACAATGCCGATGGAATGAAATGACGAATTGAACCTTTTCTTCCTTCATAAAGTTAACTTCCACGCCATCATTATTGATGCTAATGACTAAGCTCACATAATATAATGGCTTGCTGTTTCCTGGAAACTCAAGCAATACGTAGTCATCGACGTTAACAACGTTACACATTGGAGAAAATCTTCCTCATCTAAAATTTCATCATCGGAGGATTTTTCATCCCACTCGCCTCTAGATGATGATGGCAATTCTTCTTTTAGTAAGATCTTCTTTTTTGCTGACTTTTGAAGCTTGAATGTCTTCTCCTGCTTTGCAATTTTGATTGCTCGTTTGGCCTTCTTAGCTTATATATTTTCAGGCGTTGTCAAAAGTTGAGCATGCTGTTTCTTTTTCGCTACGGCAGGAGCATCACGTTTTGGTATTGGTGAAACAATTTGTAGAAGTTTCGTAGGAGTTGCTTTTGTGGTTTTATGAGAATGTGGGTCAGTAGGCTTCTTCTTTGGATTATTAAGTGAGAGTGAACCAGATGTGCTGGGTTCAGGATTCAAGGCTAAGCTCAGCCTTGGATCCTGAAGATCCACAAAAGCCTCAGACTCTTGTCGTCCTTGTCCATAGAGTTGGACTCCAAGGTTTCTTGTAGGTAAGCGTAATCAGGAATAGAGGAGGACGCGAATGGAAACACCTCGCAGGCCCGGAAGCTTGCTGAACCCGTAGACATTGTTGCAGCTTGTGACCAGGCTTTCTGTAGAAGTTGGCCGAAGTGCCTGCGTTCTATCTTATTTCCAGGATTTGCATTTCCCCCTTCGATAGCTGCACTTCGGTAATAGGCCTTCAACGGTTTGAAAAACAATCGATCGAGAGGCTGTAAGTAATGATTCGTGTGGCTGGAAAGGCAAAGAAAGTGGACATCATTTTCCAGCACTATCTCTAATATGTCCGGCAAATTAGTGTGAGATTCGTGTCCGTCGAGCAGTAATAGGCATGTACCAGCTGCCTTCCTTGGAATAAAGTGGTTCTCCAGCCAATTTTTAAAGAGGTCTTCATTTATGTAGGCTGATTTTCCACCCATCACCACTTCAGAACCGTTAGGCATATTATCGAGTCACACTTGTTGTTTGTATAGACCGTCGAACACTACGTAGGGAGGTAAAAACTTCCCTCTGCATTACAATAGGCAACAATTGTCACTGTCTCTCCTTGTTCTTTTGATTGCCGCTCTTAAACTGCCTTGCTGCCTTTGGCCACTATAACTTCTTGCGGGGGGTTGTTCAATTGCAAACCTGACCCATCTACATTGTAAATATTTCCGGAGTTGTTCAAGAGGTTTGACGATTCTAACGTCTTTTTTAACAAATTGAAATAATCATTCACTTCTTCCTTTACCATGCCATCCGAGCGGGCCATAGACACTCCTTGGGCCTTTCTAATTGCTCCCTTCACGACGGATTGCTATACACCTTAGAGTAGGGAATTTTACACGTCAACGTCATTTTGACGTGTAAAATTCCCTACTCTAAGTTATACACCAACTTAGACATGCTTCATCTGGTGGCAATGGTGGGTACTACCGTTTCTCAAAACCTTTCCCGCGCTAGCATGCAGAATTTGAAAGAAATTGAGAACGCGCCGTATCCCTCACGTTTACCATATATAAAAATAAGTTTGGAAGAGGGATCCTGGTTGTTGTATAAGCCCCTTGTAAATGGTATATAATGGTAATATAAGCCCCTTCTTATTCTCAGTTAAAAGCAATATCAACGACTATAGATGCTTATATAATTATTGTATATTCGCTGCTATTAAAGCATCTACATTTGTTGATATTAAGTTCAACGTAAGATTGCATATGTTCAGTTCCTTGCATTTCGGCTCAATATACGACCAAAGTCTGGAAACGCCTAATCCTCTCGAAACACTTTTTGACTCACACTATGTGCAACTAAATTTGATCATAATAATTAAAAGTTTACTACATTGCTATATTATGTCTACCTATTTAATCAGGTGTTCAAAATGTTCTCCATTCTCAGTATCCTTAACGATGCACACAGTGGTATGTTATATAAAAAGTTGGCCAAATTAAGTTTACTTTTCTTCTGGCATATTCGTAACTGTCGCTATTACAAAAATTACTTGAATTACTTATAAGAATAACGAAATCACAAATCGTACAAAAAAGTGTAGTAAAATCGCAAAATTAAACGTAGCCAAAACGTGTTAGGAAGTGATAGCTGTCAAATTTGTTTGGTTAGGATATTTGAGAAGGAGATATTGCCAGATGACATTGTTCTCGGACGCGACTAGTTCGCGCTCGAGACGCATCGCCCCGCCCCTCATTTTTCCTATTGGTCCCTGACCTGGAAATCCCTATTTATTACTACTTCAGCGTGTATAAAAATAGGCGATTTTCAGGTCAACCAGGTCAGTCCTTCACGGGCTCTCCGAGAGCTTAGTGCTCTCGGGGCTCTGCTTCCTTTTTAGCTTTCCATACTCTGTGGCTGAGTATTTATTAAATTTTAAACTTGGTGTTTTATTTCGACTACTATTTGGTCATGTAAGAAATATCTTGCCTTTATCAAGGCAAGTCATCGAAGAACCACGAACCTGATATTTATTTCGACTTGTAGAAAACTAAGTCATGTAAGAAATAGCTCGTCTTTTTCAAAAAGATCAGAAGCGAAACTTCACAAGTCTATACTATCCTGTAAATAGACTTGGGTAGAGGTGCTTTCGTTGACGTCTCCGAACCCCTCTACAGAGCACCCGGAGGCAATAGTAGGATGTTAGACCCCTATTTGTTCCCCCGCGGTGACAACATCACATATAACTAACTGACTGCTTGGGAGACAAAAATCGGTCAGAAAGGCTAGTTTTTCAAATTTTCGTTTTTGCCAGTTTTTTATGTAGAGTACCACTCTGTGCGATGGTAAAATGTGTCTATAAAATTTTTTCATATTTTTTCCAGAAATGAATATCGTGTCATCGATAACTCTTTGCCATACTACCCAATCTACCAATCCGTCGTCCGGTAAATCTCATGTAATACATGCACAACTAAGGAATGACTTACATACATCCTTTGCGCAAGGATGTATGTAAACCTTCAACGAAACTCTCCATTTAATGTTAAAGTTAAAATTCATAACAGTTTTTGATCTACTTGTTAAATTATCATGTCATTTGTACCGTCAAATGGATTGGAAAAGTATCGTTAAACAAGTTATTCGCTCTTTTTCATTAAAAACCATCTTCATTGTAGAGCTTTTAAAAACATAAAAGCAACTGTCAGCTTTGATTATTAATACAATTTATTTTACAATAAACGTCAAGCTACTTTTAGTTCTATAAATTGATGTAAAAATCACAACATTATATATTTACTGAATTACTTCAAAACTATTTGGCACTGAAAGTTTTATTTATTATGACCTTCGAGTCTAGATAAAATACTCAGTGTTACGTATGGTTAAACTCGTATTAAAGTAAGGATTCTAATAATAATACAATATAAAGAGTATTAGATTTAAAAAACCAAAGTGGCCCATGCTATTAGGAAGCATCAAATAACACAATATACAGATACACAATAAGTGTATCCCGGTTTTTGTACAATTCGGACCCTCCATTTAAGAGATAATTAGGCCTTTGTAGACTTTTTGTTCAGTCTATATATGTATGTATATTGTATCGTAAATCATAAAGTACCTGTCCCAAATCACACAATTACCATTTGCACATAATGATTAACTACTGAATTTGCACTTCTGTACGGTCGCATGCTAGTAGAATTAATAAAAAATTGTGATAACATATTTAATATTTGTGATATAAGAGCTTCTTCTTTAATTTTAAATAAAGATATAAGCATTGCTTTGGCTTTAATTTTTGTGTTCCCTTCTTATATATCTTTCTATTTGATGCTGCACTTTTTCACTCTCTTATAAGATAAACTTTAGTTAACTTTCGCAATAAATTGTTTAGAATGTCTCGTTAAACCACAAAGCTTTTCAAAGTTATTCTTAGGTTGTCGCATGTTCGCTTCATAAAGAAAACGTAGGCAACTTCCATACTTATCTTTTGGAATCCAAAGCTCATTGGCAGTTTTAATTTAGATACATTTTACATCCTTCGACAAGTAGCAGTGGAGAATACCTTCTAACCCTTGAGCAGCCTCATTACAAAGATCAGCACAATCTGATTGTAAAAACGCCCTGTGATCAAAAACAGACTCGAGCTAGTCAGACCCGTATGGACAAACCAAAGAAGCCTCCCGTTCTATGTCAGCGGTATGCTGGCCAGCTGTGCAACCCATGCATGCAATCTGGATCCAACAACGGAGACAACAATAGGTACGATATTGATAAACATTTTTTTAATAGTTATGAAAATAGGTATCTTGAGTATTAGAAAACAACCTAATCCAACTTAAGAAACCATAATGTTCTTTATTTCCTCAGTTTTTAAGTAAATTCTTAATCCTACCTTCATTCACCTTCTTAATCCTACCTTCATTTTCCAAGGAATTAACAACCAGGTACATTTTAGCTTAGATGCTTACGACTTGGCTAGTCCTTGTTGTGATCCAAGATGCGTTCCCACTGGTAGAAGAAGATCGCGAAGCCAAAAAGAACAAAGAAAAAGAGACTCCAAGACTGAGGAAACCCAAACTGAACCACAACAACCTAGATCTCGACCACATTCCCAATCGTCACAAACCGGACCTGAGCCCCAAACTTTCACAGTTCCTAAACGGTAAATATGCTCGCAGTTAATAATATTTTGGATTATTTATTATAATTCTATATTACTGCTTTAATTTATGACCCTTATTTTACAACTCTTATTTGCTCTTTTCTGAAACACCTGCGTCTTTCTGCAGGTATTCAATTATAAATTTTCGAATCATTTTCCTATTTCTGTCATTTACTTCTTTTGTCCTTCTTCCTCTACGTACTCTTTAATATTTTTCCTAATCCTGCCAATTACTACCATTACCACACCCATCTTAGATCCTCTGTTTTAGTTATAGCTCAGATATTCTTAACCCACACATTTTTTTAGGGAATAGGTACAATTTTTTTTTGAATGTCTTTGTTAAACTTGGTTAAATAGCAAAATTTCATTGATATTTGACATAAAAAAATCTAATTTTTGGCAAAAGGTAGGTGTACTCATACAAGTACATTGGGCTGATCGGGAGTCAAAAATATAAAACATTGTGCAAAAGTGAAAATGTTTTCTTACAATATACTTACAATGGCTCACAGCTTAAATGATGCAGTTGCTACTCAATAAAACTAGCTTATGTCAGCGGCTCAATATTTATTAGAAAAAAAATTACATATTGAAATTAAATTACTACAAGTCTTCTAAAATTGCTTAAGCTATTTTAAGGGTTTCAAATATGCCATACTTAAATAACAATAAAATTTAATTTTTTTATGTATGATTTTGATGTCACAGTTAAAATAATAAATAATAAAACAAATAAAAGAAAAAACTATAGAGTGCGGCATGCCAGCGTATATTTGCTTCATTGATCTGACGAAGGCGTTTGACAGGGTTCGCCTGGGAGACATTCTAAATATATAGACAAAATAAAATAAAATAAAACAAAATAAAACACCGACCAACATAACAAAGATAGTCCATAACCTAAATAACAAAAATGTAACCAAAGTTAGAGCAGGAGACAAATTCACTGAAAATATTTCAACACCAGTAGGAATTAGACAAGGCGACAGTTTAAGCCCCTTCGTGTTTAACCTATCTATCTATAGCCAAAATCTATTTATGTGTTGAATATAGGCCTCTCTCATTTGTCTCCATTTGTCTCTGTCTTCTGTTTTTCTTTTCCACATTGGACCTGCGCTTTGCTCAATGTCATCTTTTCATCTCATTTGCGGTCGACCTCTTGACCTTTTTGCAGTATATGGTCTCCAGCGGCCAATTTCTTTATTCCATCTTCCATCCTGATAATTTTCGTTATGCCCAGCCCATTTCCATTTTAATTTCAATGCATGTTCGACAGCGTCTGTTGTTTCGGTTTTGCATCTTTAGTGTTTAACCTACTCATAGGCAAAATTATAAACAAAGTAAAATCTCTCAAATTCGGATACATAATGGGCAACAAAGGAATTGGTATGGTTTGTTACGCAGATGATGCAGCAATTATTGCCGAATTAGAAGATGATCTTCAGAGACAGCTCTTTCAGTTCTTTCAAATTAGCCACCAACTAAATATGATCATTTCTACCAAAAAAAAAAACTAAGTGTATGACAATAGCAAAAGATCCGCTCAGATGTAAGTTAGTGGTTGAGAACAATCCCATAGAACAGGTGATGCAATTCAGATATATCAAGCACACACGACCCAGTAAATGACCCAAAAAGTCAGATCAACAAAGCATCCGCATGGTCAGGATGTCTCCGGGAGATAATCTGGTCAAATCTGTATATGCGCACAGATAGTAAAATTATAATCTACAAGACTGGCATACGACCGACCATAACATATGGCATAGAAGTGCGCGAAGATACCAACAAAACAGATGATAAGGGTTGCCGAAATAAAAACCCTAAGTGAGAGTGTCTACCAAACTGACGTTGCAAGTGGCAAGTAGCAAGTAGCACGCGTCTAGCATGTTACTTAAAATGTAACCAGTGGAAACGACTGATTAGAATGAATTATGTCACTGTCATTTTGGTGTGCGCTGAATCATTCGTTTTCATTAGTGACATTTTACGTAACATGCTAGACGAGTGCTACTTGCTACTTGCCACTTGCCATGCCAGTTTGGTGGGCGCTCTCCTTTAGAACAATAGTGGGTAAAACAAGAAGAGACAGGGTGAGAAATACAAACGTTAGAGAGCAGTGCAAAATTCAAGATATTGTAAGTTGGGGAAGGCAGCATAAGAGGATATGGTACAATCATGTAAGACGAATGGATGAGAATAGACTCCCAAAAATTGTCCTAGAAAACAACCCGCTCGGTTCAAGACCTCCCGGAAGACTACCTTAACGATGGAGGGATAGTTGGCAATCTACCTCTCAGGAAATTAACCAGAGGCAGCTTCAGAATTAAACAGATCGAAAGATCTCCAAGAAGTAGAAGAACAAGAAGCTAAAATGATGCAGATAAGATAAGACATTTCAAAGTATCTAATCGGCAAATAACAAAATTATTAAAAAATGGCCCGGGAAATTACAGTTAGTGAAATAAAATTAATTATTACTCTTCATAGAAACGGATATAGCCAAAAAGTTATATCTAAAATGGTAAAATGTTCATCAACAGTTCAGCGCATTATTGAACGTTACCGAAATGAAAAGAGAATTGAAAAGAAATCAAGGTTAGCTCCAAATAAGATTTTTATTGAACTTGAGAAAAGACGGATTTTCAGAGAATACCAAATAATCCTACAAAAAGTGCACCAAAACTGCGAGATGGGGTAAAAAGACAGTTTGGAAAACAATGTAACCCCGAAACAATTAGACGGAAATTAGAAAAGAATAACCTATATGATGTAACTGCTAGAAATAAACATTTTATTAGCCAAAGAAATAGGGACATTAGATAGGCGTGTTCTCTAGGCAGCATATTAACAAAGATTTAAACTTTTGGAATTCAGTAATATTTGCTAATGAAACCAAAATAAACTTGTTCGGGTCCGATGGAAAAATATCGGTGTGGATAAAGCGAATGAAGAACTAAAATTAAAAAATATGAAAGCCACGGTAAAGCACAGTGGAGGTGGTGTGATGATGTGGAGATGTATATAATCTGCAGGAATACGTAACATGCATTTGAAGCATTCTATTGAAGGAAATATGAACCAATACATGTACTCGTATATACTAAGGCAACATCTCTCCGCTGGTGCTCAAAAATTAGGTATTAATAACAATTACCGGCTTTATCAGAACAATGATCCAAAACACACGTCATATCGGGTTAGAACTTGGCTGCTTTATACTACACCCGCCCAGTCACCATAATTGAATGTTATTGAAAATGTATGGTTAACATTAAAAAATAAAGTAAATAGTGCCCCAATATCAAATAGAAATGAATTGAAAATAAAGATTACTGAAGCTGGGGACGCAATTTCCCCAGAGTAGTTCCCCAATGCCTAGACAACTGCAGGCTGTAACTGATTATGAAGGAGGACCTACAAAATATTAGCAATCATTTTTTAATGTGTACAGTTGGTTTTCTGTGTTAGTTTTCTTGTTTTAAAGTTTGCATGATTTTAGCTGTGACATCACAAGCATACCTAAAATAATTAAATATTTATTGTTATTTAAGTATGGTAAATTTGAAACCGAAAAAATAGCTTTTATTATTTTAAAAGATTTGTAGTAATTTCATTTTAGTATATAATTTTTTTCTAAGCTAATTTTATTAAGTAGCTACTGCATCATTTAAGCTGTGAGTCACTGTAGGTATGTACATACTTGGGTATATCCTGTATTATAATCTAACGAGTATGAAACACAGAGTAACTTTACACTTTATACAAATCCAACGTACTCTTTGATGACATAAGCGACATCGAAGTTGTTTGTTTTCTTTGTAAAATGATCGTTTCATTCATTTTCAGACTAATTGGTATAGATCCTGCTAGTCGTTTTATAGAATCAGTAGATTTCCCCAAAGTTCTTAAATAATGGCGTACTACATCTTGTTGAGAAGTCAGAAGAACCATTTCGTTATTTCCAGCTAATATCTGTAACTTCTCCAAGTTAACAAGACCCGAGTTGGGCATATGAATAAAAATATACCACCACCATTTCTTTCATTGTATACTGACTCGGTATTATTAACCGATTGGTAAAATATCTCAACACCGGACATTAAAGCATTGTATGCTGAGAAAACTTGTGGTTGGAGTACATCAATTTTTCCTTTGGCAGCAGCACACCAACGTTTCACTTTTGAAAGTGGTACAATGCTATTTTAATACAATGCCATTGTGGTCACATTGTTTTCCTTACATTTTACAAAAAGTAGTAAACATATTTTATCAAAGCGATATTCGAAATATCCACGAAATATCCACTTCTTTTTCGTTACAGTTGAAGGTGATAAAGGACATTTTTTATATACTTTTCACTTAGGTACTGTGCCTGTTGCTCTAAAGCACTTTTCTTTCAAAGTTTGCATCAAATTGTAACTAATAAAATAATTGTCAAAAAATGCTTCGTAATCAGTAAGCACATCAAAGACATTAAGCGTTTTTAAAAGAACTGTTTATAGGAGTGATTTCCAAAATTCTTTATCATCGCTTCATCAATTAATAAGTCTTCGTGGAATATGCCAAGTTGTTAAAATTTCTTATTAAGTTCGTTCATTAGAGGCCTTTATACATTTTGCCCCTTGTATAAATTTTCAAATTATCTGCCAAATGCAGGTATTTTTGAATTTCTTGGAAACAGTTTCTTGAAACTGCATTAGACACGAGGGAAACCTAAAGATTCTCATCTAAACACCAATAATTGCATTCTAGTGGCAATCTATAGTATCCAGTGAAAAGTAAAATAGCCTGAAATATCTTTATCTCTTCCTGCGTTACATGAAATTGATAATTGCTGTATTAAACGGCATATAAAAGTCTGTTCTGTAATATATTCAATAATTTCATTGTCGAAACATTTTTCAAATAGTTCGATAGGAGATTACCTCGGATTTGCTCTTTCATATCATCCAGACGACCCTTGTAATCTGTCATAAATGTCAAATTAATAGTAA